AAATAAAAAAAAAAAAAAAAAAAAAAAGAAAATCAATATGTGCTAAAGTATATGTCTGCACAATCTAGTTATTTAAATATTGGCAGCAGATATTTGCACTACAGTAGTCAACATTTGAAGTGGATCAAAACCTTTCATCAAAGATGTCCTAAAACCAAAACAATACCAGTTCTTGTCTTAAGACAACTTTGATGAATTTCTCTGATCCACTTCAAATGTTGACTACTGTATATATATATATATTTTTTTTTTACTTGGAAAGGAAGTTAAAGTGAGTTTATTCTTAAAAGATTACAAAATCTACACTGCAAAAAATGGTTTTCATACTTAGCATTATTGTAGCATTCTTAAACATACATTTAATTGAGAAGCAAAATTATTTAATATACGAATTCATATTGTCTGAAAAATCATCAGAATTTAGGGAGTTTATATCTAAAGCAAGAAACTTCATATGGGGTCAGAAAAAAAAAAACGTGCAGATACTTTTACACTGAAAACATTCTTACTCGATTTGTGTCTTGCTTTCAGGTACAAAAATCTAAAAAATTCTCTCAGAAATTGCTAGTAAATTTCACAAATAAAGCAGCAAGTAACACACTGGATTAAATGTGAAATTAAAACTTGTAAAACATACCCCATCAATCTTTTTTTTATTTTCAACTTTGAAAAATTATAAGATATTTAGTCTAGTTTTCTGGAGGAAGAAAAATAAATGAATTAAAATAATCTAAATTAAATGAGTTCATGCTTGAAGCAAGAAAAAAAAAACAATCTACCAATGGAGTCAGAAAAATCAACATTATTCAAAGAGAAAACAAGCTGGCAGATATTTCATCTTGCTTTAATCAGAAACTCAGTTCATTTTTCAAGACTTTTTCATCAAGTCATTGTGCTTCACAACTTTCAAGATATTTGACTGAAAAACAACACAAAAATACAGAGGAAGCAGACTTCTCTAGTAATCTGCAGCTTGAGTTTCAGGACACGTTTAGAGGTCTGGCTGTATTTTTAGGCGTTATGATAAAGGACACTGTGATATGTTGCGACCGTGCTATTCCTGGGCCAGCGGTTGTTTATGGGTGTGGATTACTTTCCTCAAGACATCAGGACACATGTGACTGCCGAGTACCTACGCAAGCCTCAAACGATGTTTGGAAACCATACTAAACCATTACGACACCGCTTGACAGAATCACATTTTCAAGTTACAAACAGTGTACTGTCAATCAAGAATGCAGTTCACTGAACATGATGTGTAAAGGAAACAGAAACAACCTCATGAGCGTTTGGAGGAACGTCCTTGTTGTAGCGAGTGACTCGGAGTTGAGGACGGTGTAGTGTGACATTTACTGGTTAGTGTGTGTTAACTGAGTGCTATTTCAAGAGTTCAGCCTTGTTGGGCTGAGATGCCCTGAGAGACCTCGGGTTGCTTCAGAAAACACCCGCAAAGAGTTTGTGTGAAGTAAGACGTCAAAAGAGATCATTAGAAATATAGCACGTTTGTGTTGGGTGTGGGTTTACTCTGCTTTAGGCACTACACTGTGCTAAATTGCGCTAAATCTGACAAAAACCTCCTCGAATGTAAAACAGTAAGTTAAACTAAATTAAGCGAAAACATAAATGCAAAAAACTTTTTATTTTAAAAAGCTAAATATGGTTAATAAAGAATGAATGCAAAAATACATATTTATTAAGTAAATAAAAAGTCAAAATGGTTAAAAATAAATAATGCAAAAATAAATAAAAGTTTTTATTTTTGGTAAATAAAAAGTAAGAAGTTAAACATGGTTAATAAATAATCTAAAATACAAAAAAAAGAGATTTATTTTAGTGGTAAGTAAAACGCACATTTAAAGTAAATTTGACATTTTATTTTTGAGAATAAATTTAAAAATAGACTTATTGAATTTGAACTTAAATAATTGCAACTGTCTACATAAACTTTGGTGGTTTGGTGGTTTGGGGGGGTATAAAAGGCTCCAGACAGCAAATGCACTTTCATCATTTTTCCTGCTGCTGAGACTCAGTATTTGTCAGATGTTGCTCTGGTGTGACTTTAAAAACGCTCTACTTGTTTTAATGATGCACTGCCAGAAGATGAAAAGAGAAAAACTCCAAACAAGTGCTGACTGAACTAAAGCTCTGCGTGAGCCGCTTGACACTCCAGTGCAGAGAAATAACACAGTTAAACTACAGACTTTAAAGTCTGGGCTTCCATGAATTACACCAAGCATCAGTTTCCCTTCTGTCTGAAATCTGTTCTGTTATGACGTAAAAAAACAAAAAAAAAAAGACTTAAATCATTAAGATTTCTCTATGGGACAAAATATTCAATAACATTAGTAATTGAATTCATTCATGCATAACAGTTTTGTTTTTGTTGAACACACACACACACACACACACACACACACACACACACACACACACACACACACACACTGAGCTAGTAACACAAACACATTCTGAAATGAGAAAGTATTAATAGTAACCAGTCTCTTCCCATCAGCAGCAGCTCACAGTGGATCTGGGCAGTGTGTGTGTTCATCCGTTTGCTCTTGGCTTCGTCTCTGTGTTTGTTCATCTACAAATTTTGATGACAAAAGAACAGAAAACGAGCCGCAGGAGCCGCCATGGAGACGCTGAGAGACGCCAAAGCGCTCAGTGTTGTGTTGCTGTGTCCTGTGTTTCCCACAGCGATGAGCCGCATTCATCAGACCAGCTAGAGAACAGCAGCCAGACAATCTCTGACAGATTCACTACAACCACTAGTATATATCTATCCATCATCTATCTATCTATCTATCCATCTATCTATCTATCTATCT